GAGTCCAGCGCGATGCTGCTCGGTCTCATCTTTCAGAGCAGATGTGGCCTCCATCGGATTAGCTTTTTCCTTGGTTACCCATCTCCCCTTGCGATTCTCACTGGTGAAGGACGCGACGTCACGAGTCTGGAGTCCACTCGGATCGGCTGCTGCGCTTGTTGGCGCACATCCGTACTTAAACGCCATTTCGGCTTCTCGCGCTTTTGCCTCCGCATCTGGCTTCGTTCGGTCGAGACGGAGCGCGCGCACGTGGGGCTGTAGAGTCGCAAACACGCTCTCGTAGTTGCGGACGAGTGGTCGGCCGATGGTTCTCTCTTTCGCTCGAACTTCGTACAGCAACAGCCATACAGCCTCAGGCTCGATCGGCAGCGGCGTTGCAGCATCGGGCAATGGCATCGCGCTTCCATGTTCTCGTAGGTGCTCTAGATTGGTGCAGAGGGGCACGCAGAGCTTGCCACGGCGACCAATATAGGCTTCGTCGCTCCCAGCGACCTTGGAAGAAGTATCTACCTCAATTTGCTTCGGAGCGGCCTCGTCGTCAGCCGTCGAAGCGTGGTCGGGAGAGTCTTGCCTGCTTTTTTGGTCGTCGTCGTCTCTTTCATCGGCACCACTTTTGTCGGTTGCATCGACATCTGCGTCGTCCTCTTCCTCGATCATCCGAATGTCGCCATCAATTCCATCATTGCTGCTCTGCGTAGCCTCAGCACCTGTTGCTGTGGCGCTGCTCGATGAATACACTGCGCCGTCAGCTTGCTCATCACTTGATGAATTTCTCGTTTTCATGCTTCCCAGGGAGCTAGCTACAACACCACTGGCAGCTCTTGCAGCTTGTCTTGCTGCTGCCTCTTGTGCTGCAAGTTCGGCTTCCTGTGCGGCCTCAGCGTCGATCTGCTTCTGTTTCAGGACCTTTTTGGCAACTGCAGCTTGCATGCTGACCTCCGCAGCTGCTCCCATCACAGCAACCACAGGCTCTCGCGGAAAGAAGATCAGTCTTAGAACTTTTTAAGTACCTAGATTCATCTTCGACACAATCTTGGTAATGTTGACTCCCTCTTCATGTACCTTCGAGTGTGATGTTTGTTGTTCGTTGTTCCCAAGATGATTGAACCAGGAAGGAAGTGGCTGTAGCCTTAACAGTTTTGGGTCTGTCTCCTGCACAATTTGCTCTACAAAGCGCGATAGTTTTCGACGGCGGTCGCGATCTCGCGCCCACTCTGCCCGCCACATGTGGGGAAACCGAATGTCACGCGCTGCTGCCCTATGGCAGCGCCTTGTCTCGAATTCCGACTGGTCCTCTTCCTCGCGAGGCTCGTCCTCGCTTGAATGCTCCATCTGTTCGAACTTAGCGTCGCTGTCTTCAGATGAGGACTCAGTCTCCGAGTTACCGACCAAGGCCTGTACCATTTGTGCAGAAGCTGCTGCTGCACTGCTCACCATGTCATTCTGCATCTCCTGCTTCTGCGCGACAAATCGGCTCGTGCGCGTAATGCGCGTGTCGTTCGGGTGTTTTGCGTCGTCTGTGGGCGTTCGATCTCTTTCTCTCTGCTCCTTTTCCTTCTTGGTCAGCGGTGGAGCAAGTGCCGCCGCACGTGCCTGTTCATCTTCCTCTTTCTCGCCTTTCTTGACGGCTTTCTTTACCTTGCGATTCGCATGTTCGAGGATAGAAGCCTGTCGATTCAGCACAGGGTTCACAGCAGACTGTGGAGGCGCAGCGTCTGCTTCTGACGAATCCGATGCTCGGCCTGCAGGACTACCCGCGCTGCTGTCGGCTCCACCTTGTTTCCCATCAACACCATCTACTACGTCTCCATGCTGTTGATCCGTCATAGCATCATTTGGATTCGGTTCATCCCCTTTGTTCGTTTCATCTACCTCTACACCTGCAGGAGAGCTACCATGACTATCTCCTTTGTCGTCTTCTTCAGCTTCCGTCGCGCTGCTCGTGTAACCACCAACATCCGTTGTGCTCGCAGCTTCTGCCCCCACAGAATCCACTGCCGTATCCGTTGGCGACGGTGCAAGCGCTGTGCCAGAAGCTGCAGTAGATGGTCCAGTACCAGAAGCAGTATCTGGAGCAGCTCCTAGGATTGCCAGAACTCCTGCTGCACCTCCTGGACGAGTGATCGACGTTGTTGTCAAGGGAACCGTCGCTGGCTTTGTGCCAGGATGGCCGAATTTCTCGGCACCGTCTACGCCGCGGTAGAGAGCGATCCCGCTCGGGCCTTTCTTCGGTTTATCAAGGCCCGTTTTTGTCTTGGTCTTTTTCTTATCCTCTTTGTCGCTGCTCATACCTTTTTTCAGCGATTTTCCGAGATCGTCACCTTTCGAAGGCGCCAGCCCAGCAGCTTCGAGTGCGGCAGTCTCTCCTGCCGTTCGCTGTGCGAGGAACATGTTTCTTTTTTCGTCCTCCAACCGCGTCACTTCGAGGGTGCTACCTTCCGGTTTTAAACGGCGAAACCAAGACTCCAGCATCTTGTCTGGGTCTCGCCCAGCTGCTAGCTTCTCCAGTCGTTGACTTTCCGCTTTTGCTTTCGCCTCATTTTCTCGATTGATCTTTTCTTGTGCCTTTTCTGCCAAATCGCTTCCATCCTCATCCTCTTCACCTTCACTTCCATCTTCATCTTCTCCATCACCACGACCTCCACGCTCTTTCTTCACTTTACTTGCTGCGTCCTTGTTTTCTCCTCCACCACCTCCCTGCTCTGGTGCACTAAGTCGTTTAGATGTTGGGTCTACCTCTGCTAGGCCGCTCAGTCGCCGAGATATTGTTGGCGCTCGTGGATCACGCATGGCTCGTTCTCGCTTCTTGTCATCGATCGCTTTCGCGCGATCCATTCTCTGTTTCATCCCTTTTGCCTGCAAGGCAGCTTGCATTGCTCCCTGACTCCGCGACAGATCTTGCGCTGCCCGCTCCAGGACTGCTACAGTTTAGATTTAATGAAGAAGAACAATCTTCGCAATCGGTAGTTTATTCGATTATGAATTAGTTCTTGTACAATTTGATTTTCAATCACTTCTGAAATTGGAAGTCGGGATGAAATAGATGCATTTACAAATTTCAGAAACGAAAACAAGATGCCAGTTACATCTCCGACAGGCAAGACAAGCTACCGCCTTAGTCAGCCAATCTCTGCATGTGCGGGTTAATAGCTGGCGCGCTTTCTTCACGAAGTCGGTCTACTTCCCACTGTTGGAGCATCGCTCGTAATTGCAGTCCAAACTTCGTATCCGGTCCTCCTGGCATCTGTTAGACCTCTCGCCAATTCATCCAATGTGCATACTAAATGGCTCCGGTATTTGGTAACCTGAATTGGATCACAAGGGTTCTCTTCTTGTTTTCCCTTATGATCAAATTCAGGTTACCAAATACCGGAAGCATACACATTTACGATTGAGGGATAATGATCTTCCCTATACTAGATACATAGAACAAACATAGAAGATACTAGATATAGTACAGATAGTACATAGAAGAGATGGATTAGCGAAAGCCTTAAAACTGCGTCAGAAACGTTTTGCCATGTACAGTGGCCAAGAACTTCTCTAGGTCACTCTTCTGGGGACCGTGCTCCCTTGGAGGAGGATCGTCTAGCCCCTCGTCAGGCGGGACCTCGATCAACGAAGTATTGATCTTCTTGCTATAGTCCGGAGATTAGAGGTGAATAAAGTGCATCTTGTAGATGTTTGTCTTTGTTGTGGAAAGAAGAAGTACAAGCAAGTACAAATAGGATTAGATGTCCAATATTTGGGTCTGACCACTCTCTTCAGATTCAGTTCAACTCCCGAGTCCTCTAACTCCAAAGTTTGAAGATGCGAACACCATTCATAACGCGAAGTTGCCATCCCAGCTCTGCTTCCATCTTTTACCCATGCTGGCCCATTTTTTGCCTGTTCCTCTTCGAGACGTTTCTTCTCCGCTTGCTCCTGTAGCTCACGCTTCGTGAACTGCCGCTTTCCAGTTACCTCATCGTATTCGGTATCTTCTGTGTCGTTCTCTGAGTCCGTGAATGCGTCCATCGTAGAATAGAGATGCGCCAACCGCTGCATGCCACCCTTTTGGGTGCTCTTGAAGACCTCATATTCGGACGAATATACGACCGCTTCACGGACTTCGTCAGGGGTGTGGGAGTTAGAGTAGAGCAAGGCTACGCGCGTTGTAGCCATAGTGTTGAATGTTCTTAACGAGGATGGACGTGGACGAGAAGTACTTCTCACTAATTCAAATCCTTGTCTCAGTCAGACTCACAACACGAAAATCTAGTAGATCTAGTAGTACAAAAACAAAGACCTCATCTAAGTAGTAGAAGTAGTACTACATCTACTATTAGAAGCCCATAAATTCTCCGAAGTCTGCCAGCACTACCACAGCTCCGAGAAAACTCAATGCCAGTAGCATTTCGAGAAAGTCGCAGCCATTATTGCTCAGCAGCACTACTCGATCACCTGCCGTCAGGGAGTAGAATGAGCGGAGCCCGCGCGCGACCTGCCACGCACGCTGGTGCAGTTGGCGGTAGGTGCGGAAAACCTCCCCACTCTGGGACCATTCTAGCACGGCAGGTCGGTCCCCCCAATGTCGCAATACCTGCTCGAGCGTGGCACTCATTCTCGTGGAGTACCTGCTTGCTTAGAGGACGAGAGGGGCTCCTGCAGAGTCGTGCGCAGGTTCACGTCCATGGACCCACAGCGAAGAGCAGTTGTCCTCTTCAAGAAAAGACTCGCATGGCGTTGCAGTGTGAGTGATCCATTGAGGATAATTTGCTACCATTTTCTTACTTTGCGACCATCATTTTTCTACATGTTGCTGTCTTGCAACGAGTGATAGGATAGGGTAGGAGTTGGCTCGCCGTCCACAGTTTGACCTGATGTATCCTCAGGCGTAGATTGATCCTTCCAAAGTTAGTCGTCCTCCATTACAACTCACTCCATTGGAACCTTCTTCGAGAGTCACTGGAGAGTGTGACTGCCATCGTCCACAATCGCCTAAGCGCACAAGAAGAAGCCCTAGAAGTCGGCCCCAGGGGCAGGTGAGATGTTCTTGGATCGTCGTGCTTAGATGTGGCACTACAACTTTTGGCATGTTCATTTTCTGTCGCTGGTGCGGTTTGTGATTCAGTATCACTTGTAGTTCTTGTCTAGTACAACATCTGCATCAAAATAAATTAGAATTACTCCATTATAAATTGTACAAAAAATTCTCAAGAATCATGTTCATGTATAAGTACATGCCCAGAAAGCGGGCCCATCAAGGGCCCGCTGCGCTGGGCATAGGTTAACAACTGGACAGGTTGACTACTAAGAGACAGAAAGACAAACGAAAAAAGTCGCCAAGTCTGCTCGCCAAGGCTGGGAAGCTGGCCCCCACTGTGGCGAGGCTAGTGAGGAGGCTACCGCTATGGCTACTGCCTTGGCCAACTTGCTTGCTAGGGGCAAGCCAATGGGCGCCAAGGCTGGCCCGCTGAGCGTCATGGAGTCCATGAGAAGGCCACTCTTGGACATATGTAGGCACAGAGGTTGGGCCCTTTTGAGTGTGATCATGTCCAGGAGAATCCTAAAGCATAGCATACCCATGGGATGGCACTGACACTGGCGAGCGTCATGGACGAGGCCCATGAGAAAGCCACGCTCGGGCATCTCTATGCGCAGAGCCAGAAGCTGGGCCCCAACCTTCAGGCGCGGGGGTGTGTCTATAAGCTTGGCTGTTTCATGGACATGACGCAAGACGCCCACCACGGTCCGCGCCTCAGACATGCAATGGTCCACCGTTATCACTCTCACACACAGGCATCGACGTCCTCAGCCTTCAGCCTTCACCGACGGAGATGCATGCGCCTGGCCTTCTCATGGACATGATGACGCCCGCCAGGGTCCGCCCTCATCTACTTCCTCACAGACATCGACACCCTCAACGGCTTCGACTTTCACAGGCGAAGCTGTATACCTTTGGCCCTCTCATGGATATGATGACGCTCACCAGGGTCCGCCCTTCAGACACGCAAGTGCTCAAGGCTATCACTCTCACAGACATCGACACCCCCAACGGCTTCGACTTTCAAGCGCAGAGATGTATGCCCTTGGCTTTCTCATGGGTATGATGATGCTCACCAAAGTCCACCCTTCAGAACTGCAAGCGCCCACGGCTATCAGTCTCACAGACATCGACATCCTCAACGGCTTCGACACTCAAGCGCAAAGACGTATATCTTTGGCCTTCTCATGGATGTGATGACGCTCACCAGGGTCCACCCTTCAGGGATGCAAGTGATCACGGCTATCATTCTCACAGACATCGACATCCTCGACGGCTTCGACTTTCACACACAGAGACGCACATCTTTGGCCTTCTCATGGATATGATGATGCCCACCAGGGTCCACCCTTCAGACATGCAAGTCCTCACGGCTATCATTCTCACAGACATCGACATCCTCAACGGCTTCGACTTTCAAGCACAGAGATGTATACTTTTGGCCTTCTCATGGATATGATGATGCTCACCAGGGTCCACCCTTCAGACATGCAAGCCCTCACGGCTATCATTCTGACAGACATCGACATCCTCAGCGTCGGCTTCGACTTTCACACACATCGTCGCACGTCTTTGGCCCTCTCGTTGATATGATGACGCCCACCAAGGTCCACCCTTCAGACATGCAAGTCCTCACAGCTATCATTCTCACAGACATCGACATCCTCAACGGCTTCGACTTTCATACACAGAGATGTATATCTTTGGCCTTCTCATGGATATGAAATGATGACGCTCACCAGGGTCCACCCTTCAGACATGCAAGTCCTCACGGCTATCATTCTCACAGACATCGAGTCAACATCCTCAACGGCTTCGACCTTCACGCGCAAAGTTGCACACCTTTGGCCTTCTCATGGATATGATGATGCTCACCAGGGTCCACCCTTCAGACACGCAAGCGCTCACGGCTATCATTCTCACAGCCATCGACATCCTCAACGGCTGCGACTTTGGGGCGCATCTTTGGCCTTCTCGCGAATCAATATGATCACGCTCGTCAGCCTCTAGCCTTTCAAGTGCTCACCCTCTCCCTTACAGTTCTCCCGCTTTTGTGCTGGTTAGAGGTAGACTGGTTAACCATCTCCAAGGGCTGCTGCGCGCTCCTGTGCCGTGGTCGATTGCTGTGCGCGGAAGGTAGTCGCGGAAGGGGAGCGAGCTAACTTTTTTCCAAAAACTTCAGGGAGGTCGTTCAGTTTTCTCTGTATTTGAATGACCTCCCTGAAGTTTTTGAAAAAAAGTAAAGGCGCTGGGCGATATATGACAAGGGTAGCGGTTGGCAGCTCATTGGGGCGATTCGCTAGGGGTGGGCGCGTAGTGTCTTGCTGCGGATGTGGCTGGTGTACGTGAGTAGCCTACAAACTAACAGCCGCGAACACGTTAGCACGTTCTTGACACCTTTGAACTCGTAGTACTAGCAAGGGCCTTAAGGAGCCGCTGTTATTAGCCTAAGTTTATAACAGCTTGCCCTTAAGGGAGCTCCTTAAGGAAATTTTTTCCCTCTTAAGGAAAGTTATAATAACTTTTTATAATAAAAATTCTTTAAGGAAACTGATTTCCTTAAGGAAGCTCCTTAAGGAAGCTCCTTAAGGAAGCTCCTTAAGGGAGCTCCTTAAGAGATTTCTGGCAATTGCTAATACTATAAATACTAATATTATATGAAGACGGAGAAGTATCCGCTTCAAAGCAATCATTCGTGTAACGTGTTAGTCGAGTTTTTGTTTTGCTTGACAAGGTTTTCAGATTCTATCTTGGTCTACCTATGTACGTGAAAAGAAAATCTCCTCAACAGAACAAACGAAGAGCCGGAGTACGCGCTCAGTCGTTTCGTTTTAGTCCCGAAAGTATTCATATCCGTGTACATGATGGGAATCTACATGAGGGCTTCTATTTCTCGATATTATGCTCAGATATCCGCAAAAACAAAATGTACATGTAGGAGGTACAAAAACAGGTCCTTCCTCTTTGGGAGCCTTTGTTTGAAAAACTGGAATTCGTCAGAATCACTACCATGATCCTCCACTTTCAGTTTCAATCAACATGAATTCAAGCGCATTTTTTTTTTTTTTTGTATCGTGAGCGACCATGAGAATGTCTTCATTTCGTGCTTGTCCGCCAAGTTCTGCTGCACCGAGAAGACGTCCCACCGAACTCATAGCAAGCGCCTCTTAGAGCGCACCCTAAGCCATCTCGTGTATGGTTCTGGTATTTGGTAGCCTGAATTGGATCACAAGGGTTCTCTTCTTGTTTTCCCTTATGATCAAATTCCGGCTACACCAAATACCAGAACCATTCATCTCGAGTACCAACATCCTGGATGAGGACTGTCTTCGAAGACAAGAATCCAACATGGAGGGACCTTTGCTTTTCTCCCTGAAAATCAACAGACCCAAGATGGATGCTTGCATGCTTCGTTCTGTTACTTATTTCTGAAGATGGATTAGGTTTCAGGGTAGCCTTAATCATCGTCTAGGTGCCGTGCGTTGTTGTAAAAGGATTTGAGGAAACGGACTGGACTTTTGCCTCTGAACGGGGAAAGGAGCAGTGACCGTAATGCAGCGTCAGCAGCTTTGGCATGCGTTGCGCGGCTACCTAGTAAGTGGAATCGAGGAGAAAGGCCTGATATAGAATAAGACGAAGCTCTTCAAGTTGTAACTAAAGTGACCATGATATGATTTCTGTGGCTCAAACGTAACCAACATTCGCAAAGCTGCGAGTACTCTGTGACTGTGTCAGTAGTGTGATTGTACTCCTACTCGTTTTGATATGTACTCAATGAAGCCTTCAGCTTCAGCACTGTAATTTATCAAATTTATAATATTGTACGTACTCGTACTGGTACTCAGTGTCGATTTCTAATTCGTCAGTACTGTAGTATTCTGCAAGTTCTTTTGCCATGCGCGTAACCACTGGGACACGATTTTCTGGGAAGATAAAGCCGTCCCGCTCAATCAGCGACTCCTCTTCGAAAAGCGCATCCCATAGTGCAACTACGGCTGCTCCCTCCTCCTCTTCATTGGGTCGTGGGAGAAGTGCAAAATATTAGACGGGTGCCATTGTCGACAAGTGTCCCGTACTATGTGAATGTGAATGCGTTTGTGGATCATGTGACTTGCCGAAAACATGTCAATGTTTTGAGACTAGAGAGTTTTTGAGAGACGATCTCAAAAGATGTTCTGGACTCCGCCTTCGGTTTGGATTTCATGATCAAGTGAAAACATATACTCAGCTACTGTTGAGATTGACCGATAGGGGGAACAATACAAATTAAATAGCTCCCTGCTATGCTAATGCCAGAGCGAATTTGATTTCCATAAAGGTAGTTCTTTGTTTTTTCCAGTAAACGTCTGTCAGCATGGATGCTTCCTGCAAAGACGTGTAGGGCGATTGGCGCGTGCAGTTCGTAGCTCGTTCGGCGCAAGAACGGCTGTGGTTGGTGTAAGCGCACAATCGGTGCGAATTGATAGAGTCGCGGACAGAAGCGTAAGCGGTTGAATTCGCGACCGCCACCTGCGCCTCCGGTTTTCAAAGAATTAGATTTAGTTAGTAGATTTATATATATCTTCGTGTAGTTATTGTTATATAATTGCATACATGAACATGTCAAAGTCAAAGTCATATTTTTCAGTTGATTCCTCTCATTCTCATGTATTCATTGTCGTAACTTTCTCTTCCGCTCCTGTCGGCTCCTTGCGATTGTATCCGTCTATGACATTCGTTCCGTCATCTAGTTTGTGATCGTCTATACTGGGAAAGTTAATACTTGAACTAATCAGACACGCACAGCGCTCCGCTTCGAAATTACTGACCAGAAGAAACACTTTGTTCAAAGTCCTGTGAGCAGATCCGCGGTCGTCTGCAGCATCGCCTGTCGTGCTTACAACTTGCTCCTCGACACCATGGGCTTTATGCTTCTCTAAATCTGACACAAAAATCCATCCAGGATTTTTCAAGTGGGCATCGGCATTGTGCTTGCCTCGGATTGTGCGCACGAAGTCCTCGGTCACGTACACATTGTCCACAGAAGTAATCTTGAAGGACTGTCATTCTTAGAGATCCTGTATTGATACGTAATAATAAAAGCACCAGGTGGGATCTTCATCTTCTTCCCTGAGGGTGAAAGAAAGTATCTGCGGTAGAAGCCTTAATGTTCCTGAGATCCAGAGGACCCAGTATTGTTCGCCAGAGCTTGTTCCGGATCTAGGAAGTTTGCGAATTGTCCCGCTACTGACCTGTAGTAACTGGGAGCATCCCTCAGCGCCTCCCCAAGTGACAGAAGACCGCCAGTGACCTCGCCGTCTGTCTTCACGAATTTGATCAAAGCATCGGGAAGATGGGCCCGCTGTGCAGTTGCTGGGCCAGGGCGCTCAACCTGGCGCTCCTCCTCCAGCTCTTGTTCCAATTCTCGCTCCTGCACTTCTTAGAGGTAGGGTTTTGGTGCTCGCTTACCCCGTTCGTTATGCCTTCCCCCCTTGAGAAAGGCAAAACGAACGGCAACAGGAACACGTTTAACCTGTACCCTTAATCTTCGTCAAACAGACTGCCAAACCGTTCTACCTGAGGCGCGATGCGTGCCACGTGGTCTTGAATTCGTAGCAACATTGCATTCGTCGCGATCTCATTCTCGATGTGCTCGATCAACAGTCTGTCCTCATCGACTACGCCTTTTTTGTCAGATGAAGCTGTGTTTATTTCAGCGTTGTCGTCGGTTTGATCTTGATTTTCCTTACCTCCACCTGAAGTAGAAGTAGAAGATGAAGGGTCTACTTTTTCAGAGCAGTCCTCTTCGTCGCCTCCCACCTCCTCATCAGGAACATCTTCCTCCTCGTCCTCTTCTTCATCGTCTTCCTCGTTGCGGTCTTTGCTTTCGTCTGCCTCCTTCTTCAACCCTGCGCGAACAGCAGCTAGTCGTAATTTTCGCAGCTTGGGTATTAGAGGAGCAGAGTGACAGTAATGAAGGAGTCTTCTTAATTTTGAGCTGACAAGACCACTTATTCGGTGCTGCAGGACTTGTGCTTGGACCACAGACACAGTGACTAGTACTACGTATTTCAATCTGTCAACATTACGACCTTTTCTAAGTCTTCTAGTTCTCCCAGATTCTTTCATAAGTAAACAAGTGTCTTCAACTGCTCTGATACCACTGTCGGAAGGGATGCCAACTGCCTAGCGTGCCCGTACATCTCGGCAAGGTCCAAGACTTCGTCCTCGACACACTGTTCTGCGGTTTGCAAAAGATCGATCTTGAGATGCTTTGCCGCTGGCAATTTCACCTCGGTTTGTTGAGCATCTACTGACGTTTTGGGCTCGTCGTCGTCCGCAGCAGCAGGTGACCCATGAATATTTTGCTCTCTATTATTGGGTGAGGTGTCCTCTGCCCGAGTCGTATCCTCGTTGTAAACCTGCTCTGTCATATCCAAGCCATCGTCGCCGTCCGCGTAGATTAACGCTAGTTTTTCACCATGCCTGCTCGAGTGCCTTGTCCTTTTCCTTTCGTAAATCATTCTTTTCGTTTTCCCCTTTAAGTTTAAGAAATCAAAGGAGGGGACTTCTTAACTCAGCATAGTTTGTGCTGTTCTTCTACTACCAGAACCATTTAAGTAGCAGTAGGACTAATTGCTATTAATTTAGTTGTAGAACAGCCAAAGTATTCTCACATGGAACAATAGTGAAAGACTTGCCTTAAGTAGAACATGCGGTAGGTTTCCATCTTGTTGATATTTTGTCGTCCCTGAGCAGAAAAGTAAGGAATCAAGTCGCAGATTCGTTTCCTTGTATTCGCCAACGTCCAACTGCAAATGACAGGTACAAAGCGCAAACTCGATAGAGCAGATTCTGTGGGTGCCGTTGGTGCACTCGGCGCTCCTGTTGTCCTAGTATTGCTCGTTGTTTTACCAAGAAGCTGGACGTGCTTTTTCGGTCCTCGAAGGGGAGTCTGCCAAGCGTCTCCGCCTAGCTCATCTTTGAAGATCAACGATGACGAGGAACTCGAAGTGGCAGCTTCGTGACGCTGCAGTGCACGGTGCACCTCTTTCGAAGCGACGAACGAGATCTTTTGTCCGTGACCAATCTGCCGCATTCGCATGCACGCTTGAAGAAACTTGTCCTTCGTCATGCCCTTCCCAAGTGTCAGGATGGCTCGTGTATGCAGAGGTAGGCGGAAATCGCTTCCGCGAGTGTGGACGTCATCTAAATACAAAAGACACTTGCTCATGTCCTCGGCGTAGGGGCTTAAAGCAAAAGACGCTGGGTCCTCGTCCAAATGGTCTCGGTCAATGACCTTGATCACGTTTTGTTCATCGAAGAAGACACATGCCTCCATGTCAGGCCGTCGCTTCAGCCATTCCTTGGAGAATTCCAGATTCGATAACTGCAAAACGAGTGCGCCTGGGTCCAATACCACGTTGACCTTCTCTGCTTGGTCAATACGGACGACCGGTGTAGTTGTGGTATCGCCTAAGAATTGTGGCCCAGAAGACACTCCTAAGCTGGACCGTGGAGCGACGCCTAGAGCTCCTTCGCCAACAGCACTGTGCTGGTGCTCCAGCGTTTCACCGTACTCCAGTATGTCGAGAATTTCTAGTGCCGTGTTGTCTTCTCGAAGCCAATGGTAGTAATCGTTCTCTCCTCGCAACAAGTTCCGAAGCTGAATGCCGTTGGTCATCTCTAAGCTTGGCAGATTCTTTTGTTTGATGGTCAGTGGCAGTACGTATTGTAGATCATCGGTTCCACTGAAACCGGTCGTTACTGCGCGGTTCAGGTGATACGTATTACTGCTAGTACCGGAAGAACCTTTGCTGTCCGTCGTCGAGTAGATGTGCTCCGGTTGCCGACACAGGTCCCAAGGTGTGCTCACAACCTTTTGTGGAAACTGCTTTGCCTGGGTCGGGAGAATCATGCGGAAGAGCCAGAAATTAACCACATCCATGTGCTTGGAGAAGGCAGGAAATAAGTTATTCTCGAACATCTCAACGTCGGACAGATTCACACTCTCGAATTTCATCAAGTTCGTCTGTTGAGTTGCGGTTGTCGTTGCAGTTGTGCCGTCGCCGGAAACGGGAAGAGGAGAACCTGAAGGTGGCAGTAACTGGTGATCTTGAGCGGCCTCTACTGTTCCGGAACCAAGTCCGCCTCCTCCTCCACCGCCTCCACCTGCCGCAGCAGCATTACCCATCAAGTAGAGATGCTTCGCTGGACAGCTCTCAGCCCATTCGCGATAGAGCGCCTTCGCTTCGGATTCAGTGATGCGCTCTTCTAAACAGGAAAAGACGTCTCCTAGCTGCGCTTTTGACAACCCTGATTGGTAGTAGTGCGCGATGGTGAGCAAAACAGCGATGTCCGGATGCCCGAACTCGGTGCGGTCACTAGCGACGTCCTTCGCGCGAAAGGGGACAGCCATCTGGTACGTCTGCCGACCCGGGTGAGCACCGTAATCGACCCTCCATCGTTTTTGCAGAACCACTTGTAGCACTTCGTGGGACAGCACGCCTCGCAAAACAAGTGCCAAACTTCGCATCGTCTGGTTCAGCTGCTCCCACGGCCAAAGCTCCTTCGAAAAATTAGCTGTTTGCGCGGCTAAAATTTCCGGAGTCATGTGCGCAGGGAGTGTTTTGGTAGGAGCGCGCTCCAAAACTGCGCTTCGCCACACTTTCTTCTCCACCGGTAATAGTTGAGGCCTGATTCGCTGAAAGATCAGATCCTTCTGGTCGTTCAGGATATCTCCTACCACTAAATTTCGTATGTCCTCGAACACCTCTGCCGCTCGTTCGGACTCAAGCAAGCGAAAACCCGGGAAAAACAACACCTCGTCGGCGTTCACTTCAACTGCTTCGTTGCCGTACTTGTCACGTAGCTTGAAGGCGTGGTTGGCGACTGATCGCATCGCAGCTGCTAGCGCCGTCCATCTCAACTGTCCGCCATCCATATCACGTCGATCGCCGATCGTGTAGATAAGTTGGTACTTCGGAGACAGGATTTCATCAGACTCGTCCAGAACGTCGCGGCGGAAGTTAGAAGAACTAGTAGGATCCAGTCGACTGACCAGGTCACTCACTCGACTCGCGTGCTGCCGCGGGACGATATCCGTAACTACTTGTACGTGATATCATCCTTGTTGCTATCTGTTGGCGTGATGTGAAGATGTTGAAGGTTGTACTGTTGTATCATGTTACAACTACTAGGTATAATACTATAATATACTGTAACATCATGTTTTTACAAGAACTACTAGGTATAATACTATAAGAAGAAGCCTTTTTCTACTTCTATGGTCATCATGTTCTTGATGTTGAAACGTCGAAAAAGAAAAAGAATAGACTTTGACGTCACAGTGGAGCCTTAACAAAGCGGGAGCAAAACGCCAAGACTTTGTGCAGGATTTCGCTTGCCGCTAGTTTGTCTGGATCGGGCAGTGATTTTTCCGGTTCTTTCCTCGCGTTGTCCTCGTCATCGACGTCGCTCTCAGAGGAAGATCCGCTATCGTCCTCAGAGGAGTCTTCCAACGCTACATTGCTGACGCTCGGCGTCGCTAGCTCGACAGCCTTGTTCTCTAGACTCAGACGATGTTCGGGGACAGTGACAATCACATGTCCCTGCGTTCGAATCATCTCCAACCGTTTCAGCATCGCCTCACACCGTTTCGCGTCTAGGGCCATGTCGCGAGTACAGATCAGCGGAAAAACCTGGCGGTTCATGAGTCCGCCAATCTTGCTCTGCCAATCCGCTGAGTTGGTGGCGTAAAGGGAACTCAGAACGGTCGCGCGCACTAACTTTTCGCCGCGTGCGGCTGCAGTCAGCACCAAAGGCGTGATGACGGCCGTCTTGCCTCCTCCCATGATCAGCTGGAGCAAGCGGTTTCCTTCAGTCTCGGACATGATCGCTAGTGCGACTTCGGCTTGATTTAGACCTTGCCTATGGCTATGCAGCCTTTATTTATCTGGGAAATGATTGCAACGCATCTTTGCAGTCCTCTTTTGAAGATTGCCCTTGAAGAAAGTATGTAAAGGACGTAAAGACAAAGTCAAAGATGCTTCTCAAGATGAAAGAATCAGTGCTATAATTATGGAACAAAGCCTTAATTGATTCTCGCGAATGGCCATGTCGCAGTCGAGTTCATACGCCAAAAACTCCGGCCACTCCCATACGCTCCAGCCGGCAAAATTAGGTGGTCCTTCCAGCTCTGCACGCAGCAACAATTCACACTTCTCTCCCTGGAACAAGAATTCTAGGCAGCGACGTGCCCTTTGCAAATGCCTCAGCGCAATGGCGTACGAACCGACAACATGCGTCTGGTAATCAAACGAAGGGGTTCTAGTAGAGGTTGAAGTTGATGTAGATGTTGGTTTTCGCTTGGTGTCGTGGGTTTGATTCGGTCGCATACTTCTTTCTTGGAAAAAGCGTTTCAGGGCTTGATACGGTGTGGAGTCCTTGCCTATTCGAGCCGCATGCTCAAGGGATGACGAGGTAGAAGTTGGCGTCGTCGCACTCGAACTAGAAGCGGAGGAAATTTCCACCACAATCTTCCACAAGGCCTTGACGAAGCGCTCTGCTGTAAACTGGTAAACTAACAACTTCTGACGCAACACTTCTCGGAAGTGTGGATCTCGGTAAAGCTTGGCACCAACTTTCATCTTTGGATTCGACGAAGCAGTAGAAGGACGAGACGTTGCTGGAGACTGCTTTTTGCCATTGTCATCTTCCTGAATATTCTTCGTGGTTATGAAGCCAAAATATGTTATCATTAAATCATCCTTTTCTACTTAAGAAACTTGATAATGATAACAGATTTTCTTTTCATAGTGGTACTTGCCATTGTTGTACTAGTGTTTGCCCTTGTGCTTCTTGAGCCACCATCCGCGGAGTTGAAAGTGAGCGCCCAGCTCCTTTTTAGTTGATCTAGCAGCAGCGCTGAGAGTTCAGCATAGGACTCGTCGGGTGGCAAAACAATGGGCAGTTCTGGAGGTATACCTGAAACTTGTCCCTCCTGCTCTGTAGTACCAGTATCTGCTGGGTTCTCGTCTCTTCTTGGCTGCATCAAAGTCGAAGAACCTTCAGCAGTAGCAGTACCACGGTCGTGGTGCTGAACATCTCCATCTGCATCTGCATTGTCAAAAAGGTCTTTGAAGTGCTTTGTTTGCTCCGTTGCACCTGGGTCCTGCAGACCGAAAGAAGCCTGCAACTTCGAGTCCCAATCGGCCTTACTAGTTGAATGCGCTTCGAGTTCGTCAAGGACGATTTTGATACTCACAGCCTCAGGAAAAACGCCTTCTTTACCCCACAAATCAAGCGTGTTGCTCAACTTATTCGTATAATTTCTTGTTTGTTTATTGTTAGTAGTCCTACTCGTGGTCTCACCAGTCACGGACTCGTCTTTGGTGGTCCTCCTGCTCGCAGACACGGCGGCGTCGATCTTTCTAGAGGAATATCCAAAGACTCGTCGAGGCGCTGCTCCTGAAACAAATACTCTGCGTCTGATGCCCTCATCAACAGGAACTGGTGCTTGCTCTTTGTCTTTGCTGGTAGCTGCTTCCTCCTCCGAGGAGAACGTTGGTAATACCTCAACACTTGCAATACCTCCCACTTGCAATACCTCGACTTGTGCGTCTTTTTGTGCATCTTTTTGTGCATCTTTTTGTTCAGGTGATGCTGGTACGGTACTGCCAGGTGTTGAGGTCGTGCCGGCGCGTGCTCCTGCACCTGCGAGTAGTGGAGGCATCATAACAGATTTAGTGCCGTTACCGTTTTTATCTCCGACGTTAACAGCGGCACCCAGCCCAAGGAAGCTCTCCATTCGTTTCGTAAATGCTTCTATGAAGTCGTGCAGTTTCTGGTTTTGCCTCCAAGTGTAGAATACACTGTTCACAGCCTGGCAGAGGACGCGCAGCGAGTGCTTCGGAATGATGTTTCCTGAAACATATAGACCACAGGTGTCTGGTCTCAGATTAGAGGCACCAGCGATAACATCTTCACAACACACCTTTTAGTCAGAGAGAACATTTGATCTTTCGGACGGGTATTCTAAAAAAAAAACGCCCAAAAAATGCTCCTGGAGATGAGTTGACGTTCACGGTGCCCGTAAGGAGGCTCCGTCCGTTGTCCCAGCTGAGACATTGGACGACGACTCCTTAAAGGGAGAATGAGAATTGAGGGACAATGAGAATTGAGGGGGAATGAGAATGATCGTTGTAGTTTAATAAATTAGAGCTAGAAGAAATCCATCTTCAGCGGCATCTTCCGTCTTTTTTCCCTTGAGAAACGGGACCAAGATGCCTGTGAGGATGGATTTCTTCTAGCCTTAATTTAAAGAGAGACAGAGAATGAGAATGACTTGTTCTAAGTACCTGAACTAAAGTCCGTACTTCTTAGTTCGATGAATTGTAGTTGTCTAAGTGAGATCTTCTGAAGCATCTGTTGGCGAGACCTGTTGACGTAAGGAGACTGCGTCCGCTGTCCCAGCATTCACGTGCGTACGACAACACCCCCGAGAGCGTGCGGGCGCGGTCGTTGTAATACTGCTCCTTCCTAGAAAAGATCGGAATCCCGCCAACACAATTGTTCAACGCGCCTACTCCCGCAACCATCCCATCTCCATAGGCCTCGTCACTCCCGTGCGGTCCCAGTCGTCCTGGTGGGACGCCAAGAACCGGCGCATGCTTCTGGTGATAGCCAGTAGTTCTTCTCGCTGTACTAGAAGCAGTGCCGGCAGCACCAGCTTGTGCTCCCTGTCTTGCAGGTCTAGAAGATGTAGAGCCACCGCCAATCAGTGACCGAAATCCTGACTTTTTCAGAATCGTGCGGTCAATAGGACAGTTTATGTCCATTCCAGAACCGTTTAGGGTATTCCATGTTCCAAAAAGCGTTGCAGACATCGCGTGGGGATACGAAAAGAGCTTGAGCTGATCCTGCGTGGAATTTACGAGGTCCGGCTTCGGCGGTCGCCAGGCGTCAACTTTGTCGCAGAAGGTAACGATGGCCTTGAGAATATTAGATGAGCTCGCCCTAATGCTAAAGCAAATGCCCGAAGTCTTTATCTTATAAATTATAAGTGTTGATCTTGATGAACCGAGGAAGACCAAAGACTTGACATTATTCTCTGTAAACAAGAAAAGGAACTCGCACTCGCAGAGCCTAAACTTATGTAAGATAATCCTAGTACTAGTAGGCTCAGAGAACTCTTTATCTTTTCCCCTTGAAGAGCAAGCATCTCCAGGATGCTTCACAAGGAAGATGGAACTAGCAGATAAAATCCTTAAAAACGGGCTCATCGTGAAACTCGGAAGCGCCGTGACCCGGTGAGTAGTATACTGGTATAGATGGGGCCTCCAAATCAGCGAAATAGCTTGAATTCTGAGCAACTACTAGCAGTTGCAACAAAAAGTCCACAGAGCCCATCATTACTGCTGCGGGAGCAGCTTTTTCCATCAAACTTTAGAGCTAGTAAATTCATCTCATTTCACATGCTTCTCCTTTTGGAAACGAATGGAGCTAGTCCTGGTAATGCTAAAAAAACCCAAAGTAGATGCTTCTCAATTTGAATTAGGGTCGTAAAAGTTCTCCTCGTTCGCGACTTCCGCGCGTGCAGGACGATTTTGCGGTAGTGTAGAAAGCGTGGACAGGTAAGCGATCAGAAAGCCGAAGCCAGCTTGACTCTCCTGGTGCTCGTACCACTTGGAACGAGGACAACAGTGGACACGTGCGATTTCGTACAGATTTAGCCAGAGATCCCCTAGTTAGAGCCCTCACGATCCTTCAAGCGCCGTAAAAAATATTGAAATCGATTCCTCTAACAAGGTTTATACAAGATCGTGCTCAGTTCTCAGAAACAGATGAATTATTCAAGAAGGAAACTGTAACTGCCTGTGTCTGGAAGACAGATACTTAAAAATATTAAGGTCGTCCGTGTGGAGATGAATTCTTATGGGCCTTAATGTAACGGGAGGTCTGCCCAACGCGTATGTTTCTTGTCGTATGCGAGAGTGAGACAAAGTATCCAAGAGGAAAATAGATCTGCGTCAATTTGTTGTGCACCCGCCGAAGAGGTCTTCTTTTTGCTTGTATCAACATCAACAACTTGTTCAATATTATCTTCACGACGTTGATGTTGGTGTCCTTGACCATCACTAATATTTGTACTCTTAGTTTCTCCATCTCCTCCTCGTTGTCCTTCTCCACCTCTACTACTTGCGGATGCGCTTCTGTCGAGATGTTCCGCGCCAAAGATCAAGCCTAAAACATTCTGCATGTTTTGGACACCACGCAGACGACAGCTGGGCCCAGAGGAGAAGAACAGGTTCTTCACGCTCGCAGCCATTCCGCTTGCTCCTTGCAGTTGGTACTTTCCACATAAGTGCGCCAGCAAGAAATCCTCAGGCTCCGTGTATTTATCAGAGACGACGTGTTTTTGAAGCTGCAGTAGCAGTCCATGCTTTCTCTCGTCTGCGTGCTGCTGTTCCAACGCCCTTGCCTTGTCTTGCTCAGAGGCCTTCTTGTCCGCGTCACCCTGCTCCCCATCGGCATCGAAATCAACCATGTTGTCCAGCCCATACGGGTTGCCCTTGTCCTTCTTCTTCTTACCCTTCTTCTTCTTTTTGTCCTTACTTGTGTTAGAGAAGGGTGTTCAAGATTTCATGGGCAATGCTTGTGAATTGAAGGTGGCGCAAGTGGCCCTCCTGCAGTGTGCACATGATCTGTGAAGATTTTCGATTGAGAGCAAAGTAGGCATCGACTTCGGTAATGAAACGTGCAAGAACGGTTCTTGTACGTCTACGTACTGTAGTGAGATGGAAAAAATATTAACGCGAACAATGCATCTGCATAATTGACTTGCCTCGATCCAGCGCACCGAACCCTCGAAATCCGTCGCCGCCGAATAAAGCTGGTGTCGGGCTAATGTGACTGAGCACTTTTCTCGTGACGTCCAGCAACTCATACTGCAGTCCAGGATACATTAGATGTGCGTGTCCCTCTCCAGTTCTTGGATCTCTCCCCAAATGAATGCGCCTTCCTTCCACGGACTCTTCCTTGAAGCAGGGCTGGCAAACGAGGCCAACTTCCTTCAATGGACATTAGAGCGCACCAAAGCAATTCTTCAGTGTGTCACTTCTTCGCTCTTTCCTTCGTTGCTCCAGAATAATAAGGGTTCTCTTCTTGTTTTCCCTTATGATCAAATTCAGGTTACCAAATACCGGAACCATTCAAGAAACCTCCGAAGAGAATGACGCCTGAAAATGAATTGTATCGAGCCTTAAGACAGGAGCTCCTGTCTATTGTGGAATCCACCAAATGGCACACGATAAGTGTTCGGATCTGGCCTGCCGTCTAACGTGCTGATCTTCTGACTCGTGTGCTTGCTAGCAGCGAAGGCGCAGCTATTGGCGCACCCTGCTCCTGCATTAGCGAGATTGTCCGCATGCTCTTTCTCATAGCATTTACGGCATACGACGTGCGCCACACCATTATGGTCGAGGCAATACCTGCAGATCATCACCCACATGTATGCCGGGATATGCCGTTGAACAGTCAGACTACCTTCCGCGTCCGAATCACTGTCCGAAACAGTCTCCCTCTGCTGCGAGCGTGTGTTTTTTCCTGCTTTTTGAAGCAGTTTCTTCTTCCGCAAGCGCTCTGCCCGACGCCGATTCCGCTCTTTTTCTTTTTAGAGCTGCAGCTGGCATCCCTGTCGGCGTAGGGATCCCTCAGGTATATCGAAAAAAAGGAAGAGCAACAAGAGGGATCCCTGTGTAAGTGTGTGCCAGGGGCCAAGGCCCTCCCCCGATCAAACTTTTTGAGGGGAGTGACGTGGGGGGCCTCCACCCCCCGACTAGATTCCTAAGAAGTCAATTTTTAACGTTTTGCTAAAATAACGTTTTAAGACTGCCATACTGGAAAAAATATGTAAATTATACAGTATTACTGGAATATGTTTATGTAAATGTATCTATAGAGTTCTTGTTGGATTCTCGCTAGAGGGAGCCTTAATTTTTCCTCTCCCGCCACTCTTGTATAAGCTTGCTCCAATACTGATCGTGCAGGTCACCCAATTTCCCCTCGCACTTCACGCATTCTAGGTCCGATGCCCTGGTAGAACGTCGGTGAAGCACCTCGGTCTGCAGCTGTTGCCCTTCAGGGCAGAAAACCAAGGTACTAGCTTTCTGTAGGCGCTGTATTCTAGAGTTAGAGGTTGAAGAAATTCATTTTCCAACGCCAACGCGGCGTAGTGGAAGACGAAAAGACTACTTGCAGAAAAAGAAATGAAATGGAAAAAATGCTTCAAACCTTAATAAAACTCTGATCCTCTTCAGCGTCTGTGAGGCGCACGTCTGCAGGAAGCCTCGCTCGCACTCGTCCGTAACTGGCATACGCCTGCTTGCCAGTTCGATAACCG